AGATCACGCCCCTGAGATGGGGGTGCCGGAGGTTGGCTAGGCCCACTCACTGCATATGACTGTCTTCTGTCTCCCAACTTTACAACGTCTATAGTTCGACTTCATGCTTCTGTAAAATGACAGATTGTATGTGTCCTTGACTTTTGAGGTCTTTTGCAAATAGTTGAAACTGACTTTTTAGTCCGCAAATACCCAAAGTCCATCATCTATATAATTTTCCAGAATCCTATCATGTTAATCTAAAAATATTCATTAAAGCCAAATGACCAAAAAGAAAACAAAAAGTTGTGAAACCTCTATTGTTGTTGTTATTAGATGCTGTTGAATCAGTCCCGACTCATGTACAACAGAACGAAACACTGCTGGTCCTGCGCTATCCTCACAATTGTTGTTTGAGCCCATTGCTGCAACCGCTGCGTCAGTCCATCTCATTGAGGGTCTTCCTCTTTTTCGCTGACCCTCCACTTTACCAAGCATGATGTTCTTCTCCAGGGACTTGTCCCTCCTGATAACATGTCTAAAGTATGTGTGATGAAGTCTCGCCACCCTTGCTTCTAAGGATAGAAACCTCTATAGGTGATACCAGTAAACGGATGTTTTAAAGTGCCCTTGGAACTTAATTCCAGGGGGTATTTAGTATTTCCAGAGTAGTGTTATATCCATTTTCTTAAAAACAAATAGGAAATGTTAAACATAAAAAGATATAAGTTTTTTTTGTCAAGATCGTTGAGCAAATCAAGGGAGCAAATAAGTTTATTCTAAGCCCTGAAAGAAGTACTCTATGCTTGTATAGGCAGTCCCACTGGAATGTAGTTTCCTGCAGAAACTATGTTGTACATGGTGATTAGGATCCTGTCTCAGTCATCTGGTGCTGCTATAACAGAAAGACTGTGAGTGGGTGGCTTTAACAAACAGAAATTTATTTCCTTACAGCTTAGGAGGCTAGAAGTCCGAAATCACAGCACTGGCTCTAGTGGAAGCCTTTCTCTCTCTGTCGGCTCTGGAGAAAGGTTCTTGTCTCTTCAGCTTCTATCCCTTAGCTCCTTGGTGATCTTCATGTGGCATAGCATCTGTTATCCCCCATCTCTGCTTTCTTCTCTATGCCTCATCTGTCCTTTTTATATCTTGAAGGTGGTTGGCTTAAGACACACCCTACACTGATATGGCTTGACATAACAAAGAAAACCCATTTCCAAATGGGATTATAACCACAGGTCTAGGGATTAGGATTTACAACACATAATTCTGGGGGACACAATTCAATCCATAACAAATCCCAAGTCAATTTGAGAAAAAGCCTGTTTAACCAATGTTGTAGTTGAAGTCTTCCGCTTGTCAAATATTTAGGAAACACCTATGTAGATTTTGTCTGCCATGTTGTAGCTGGTACTGGGGAGACAAGTGGGTCCCTGCCCTTAAAGAACTTGCAGCCTAACAGAGTGAAAAGTCTAGAAAGTAGGTAAGACTGTGAGGGACATGCTGAGATGGGATAAGGATGGGCACAATGTGAGCGCAGGGAGGAGGCCTGTCAACTAGTCAGGGGAGCGGGTGGGGGCAGAGAAGCAGCCTGGAGGGAAGTCGTCTTGCCAGCTAAATTGGGAACTGAAGGATGAGTAGGAGTTAACCAGGCAAAGGGGTAAATTCGGGGCATAGGAGGAGATGGGGCATTGCGCTGTAGGCCAGGGGTGGATTATCCGATAAGCAAGGTTTACTTGTGCTTACTTGCTAATCTGTAGTGAACAGTTTCACATGGGTTTCACCACACCACATCAAGGTGAAACCCATGTGAAATTATTCACTACAGATTAGTAAGTAAGCCCAAGTAAGCCCGTGCTTACCTTGCTTACTGGGTCATTCACCCCTGTCAGGGATTGTAAATTTGAAAAGTGGCTTTGGTTCTGTAAAAAGGTGCTGTGGGGTTGGGAGAGATACAGAATCCAGCCATACCTAGAAGCAGAATCTTTAGTGTGGTGAAAAAGTGTGAAATTGTTCACTGCAGATTAGTAAGCAAGCACAAGTAAGCCCATGCTTACCTTGCTTATTGGATAGTCCACTCCTGGAGTCCAGGCAGAGGAAAGAGTATGTTTAAAGGCTTGGAAATAAGAAAGAGATTTTTTTTTTTTTGTTACTAGGAATAGAGAGGGAGCCCTGGTGGAACAGTCGGTAAGAGCTCGGCTGCTAACCAAAAGGTTAGCAGTTCGAATCCACAAGCTGCTCTTGGAAACCCTATGGGGCAGTTCTCCTATGTCCTATAGGGTCACTATGAGTCAGAACTGATGCAATGGCAATGGGTTTGTTTGTTTGTTTTTTGGAATAGGAATAGAAAGAAGGAGTAAAAGTTTTCCTTCCCCTTACTGGATACAGAGCTTGCCATGGGGCAATTCTGACATAGGCTAAGTTTGTCTTTGGCATTCTACTGTCTACCTATCTGTGCTTTTCTCTTTCTCCTTCCCCATATAGCTAATGCGCTTCTGTTTATCCGGCCCTCTGGGACACCCTACTAGTCAGGCATGCTATAACACTTAAAATGCTCCTTACCTCAAAATTACCCACTTCTGTTTTCATCCCTATCAGAACTCTTACTACCCCGGAGAAGCTGTTCTCAGCTAGATTGCAAGAGGACATCTAATTAAATAAACTTTCACTAAAGCGTGAATGACTATTAGCCTCTCAGAAGTGTTGGCATTTCAAAAGAGGACGCTTCTTAATCCAAAGTGAGCCTTTTATTGGTGAGATTTTAATAACAGAATAAAATGAAATCGTAACATTTTAGGCTGTATGAGGAAAAATATTTTTAGTCTGGTGAGCTACCCTGTAAACAGGCCTATCTTGCTTGAAAATCTGCCTTAAGGGTTTGGTTCTCCCAAAGTGTTCCTGCATTTTTCTAGCTTCTTTCCTTCTCCTCATACTATCTTGAAAAGTTGCAAATGATTTTCAGTATTATCTGCAAAAGGGTGTCTGATGCCGAGTAAGGGGAATTGGAGGGAGGATGTGCAACAGAAGTTATTGTTTATATTGGTCTTCATTAAGTCCTGGACTTTGTAAACTCTGATGTATTGTCAGAGGAAAATGTGCCTATTTAGATTGACACCACCACTAACCATGCATAGTGGTAAGAATGCAGGTTCCTAGGTGGTTCAAATCCCAGCTTCACCACTTAGCTGGTGACCTTGGGCAAGTCACTTAACCTCTCTGACCTCCATTGTCCTAGATGAAAAATGAAGATAATAATAGGATTTACTGTCATCATTGCCATGAGGATTATATTTATGAAATAATGAACATAAAGCACTCAGCACATTTTTTGGCACGTCCAAGATATGTAACAGCAGTATTGAACATCATCATCATCCTTTTTCACTGAAACCAAACCCAAACCCATTGGCACTGAGTTTATTCCGACTCATAGCGACCCTGTATAACAGAGCAAAACTGCCCCATAAGGTTTCCTAGGCTATAATCTTTATGGGAGCAGATCGCCAGGTCTTTTCTCCCACAGAGCAGCTGATGGGTTTGAACCAATGACCTTTCGGTTTGCAGCTGAGCTTTTAACCACTGTGCCACCAGGACTCCTTCTTTCAATGAAGGGCTCTATTTAAGAGCTGCTCTGGCCCAGTTCCAACCAACGAATGAGAATGAGCGGAAGTGACACTGAAACTCTTCCCACTGTGGTCAGAATGTCTATCTGAGAAGCGTAGCAAGACAGGGTAGTGCAGGCCACATGAGGCGTTTCTCTGCTTACAGATTTTGAGATTGGCAAGCATGTGGTTGTGCCTTTTCTCCTTCTAGTTTTGCAAACTCTGGCAGAAAAACAAATCCCTCCACTCTGCTCTGGAGTCCTTGACCTGTGGCATTGCTTCCTGTTAATACAGCAGGTCCCTTATGCAGGATTCATTGCTGCCTGCCCCCAAAAAAGCAGTGAGGAAGACCACACACATTTCCCTATTAATCAAGGACTATTTTTAGTAGAGAGAAAAAGTCTCTGCATAATCACTGTTTCCCCCTGGTCTGATGCAGAAGCAGCAATGTCTATGCGTGGAGGATGGGCTACAAAGCCAACCTACACTCCTAGTTCTTGGCATATCTCTCCATGGGGGAAACGAAATAAAAAATGAAGCTTGGAAGAGGCGGAAGTGGCCTCAGTCAGCCACTTAAAATACAGGCCTAAAAGCCTTTTCCAGGTAGTTTCCTAGTACGTGGTGGTGCTGGCTGAGCTGTGCACAACTCTACCCGTTGCTGTTGAGTCAATTACAACTCATAGCAACCCTACAGGACAGAGTAGAACTGCCTCACAGGGTTTCCAAGGCTGTAATCATTACAGAAGCAGACTGCCACATCATTCTCTTGAAAAGCGGCTGGTGGGTCAGAATACAGACCTTTCACTTAGCAGCCAAGTGCTTAACCACTGCGCTACCAGGACTCCTTTGTACAACTCTAGGGGGCACCTAAATGTTATGTCCACCTCACTGTAGTGTGAACTGTGCAGTGCACAACCTGCAGAACCCACAGGACATCCCTGTAGCTTATCTTTCCTGGACCAGCAAAGCACAAGGACTTGGTTCCACCAACTTCTCCTCTCCTTTAATATTTACACTCAGACCACAGTACACAGGCTACCCATGAGTAACTCAGGAAGACACCACCCTTCTCAGGCTCTCCAAGAAGTGAAAACTTTTTCCTACTTATTGGTATATTTGGGAAGAAATTGTGTGTTTCTGGAGGTCTATGTATGAAATAAGGAGCCCTGGTAGTCTAACAGATAAGTGCTCGGCTGCTAACCAAAAGGTTGGCAGTTTGAACCCATCCAGCAGCTCTTTGGGAGAAAGGCCTAGCAATCTGCTTCCACAAAGATTGCAGCCTAGAAAATCCTACGGGGGCAGTTCTACTGTCACATGGGGTCACTATGAGTCAGAATTGACTTGATGGCAACCCAACAACAACAACAGGTATGAAATGATATATTCATTAGTCAAATGTCATAGAGGAGAAGTAGAGGTGACTTTTGGAGGGGGACTTCCTTTTTAGAAGGTATTGAATACTAGACCCTTTCTTTTCATGGCTTACATTTGAACTGACAGATTCATAAGCTGAAAAACAATAAGGATTTTACCTGAGAGTGTGAAAAAGTCTTAAAAACAACAACAACAACAACTATTTTCCTTACACCCCGACAGGGGCAAACACTAAGTGGAATGTCTTGATGCTTAAAACTTCATAATGCACTGGATGGTTTTGAAAACGCATAGATGCTATCATGGAGAGAAGGTTGATGTAGGATTAAGAAACATTGAGGAAAATAATGTTTTTATGCAAGATGTTTAAAGGCAAAACCCTACAGGGATCGTGATGCTAAAATTGCGAGAGGAAAACTCTCAACAGAGCAAGAGCATTGAAACAGTTAATGCTTGACACACGCCGTGAAGAGATGCTCAGATTTGAACAGCAGATGTGGTGCGAGGCCCCAATGTGTTCAGCAGCATGGGGATAACAGCCAAGCTTGAGGAACCCCAGTCTCCAGCTGTAGCACCAACACAAGGGCTGGACCAGGGGAGACAGGAGGGATTCCAGCCCATCTGATTCTAGCCAAAAGGACAGACAGGCTTTTTCACAGCCCCTGATGACCTTTTTTTTGGTGATCTGTTAGAGCCACCTTAGGTGACAGTTATTCTCTTAGCTGTCCTTGTCAGTTAAAATGAAAACTAGTTAAAACAAGGCTGTTTGAATGGCTGAAGAGGATTAGGATGACAGATGTGAAAATGATAGTTAAGGAAGAAGTAATAGATAACAAAGGTAGATTCCTAAGTGGATCCGAAATGGAGGCGGAATTAAAAAAAAATTATTGTAGTAAAATATATACAACAAAAAATTTGCCATTTTCACAATAGCAAAAAGATGGAAACAACCTAAGTTCCCATCAACAGATGAATGGATAGGGTCAACACTAGAGGCCTTAATACACGGCATTAACAGTATAGAAACCATAACTAACAATACACAAACACCAGAACGTAAGCTAGATAACTGGGATCTTCTAAAAATTAAACTCTTATCCTCATCAAAAGACTTTACCAAAAGAGTAAAAAGAGAACCCGCAGACTGGGAAAAAATTTTTGGCTATGACAAATCCGACAAAGGTCTAATCTCTCAAATCTGTGGGAAAATCCAACAGTTCTACAACAAAAAGACAAATAATCCAATTAAAAAATGGAGAAAGGATATGAACTGACGTTTCACTAAAGAAGACATTCAAGAGGCTAACAGATACATGAGGAAATGTTCAATATCACTATCCATTGGAGAAATGCAAATCAAAACCGCAGTGAGATATCATCTTATCCTGGTATTACTGGCACGAATCAAAAAAACAGAAAATAACAAACATTGGAGAGGCTGCAGGGAGATTGGAACTCTTAAACACTGCTGGTGGGAATGCAAAATGGTGCAACCACTTTGGAAAACGATAAGGTGCTTCCTTAAAAAACTAGAAATAGAAATACCACATGATCCAGCAATCCCACTCCTAGGAATATATCCTAGAGAAATAAGAGACATCACATAAATAGACATATACGCACCCATATTCGTTGCAGCATTGTTCACAATAGCACAAAGATGGAAGCAACCTAGGTGCCCATCAACAGATGAAAGGGTAAACAAACTATAGTATATACACACAATGGAATACTAGCAAAGATAAAGAACAATGATGAATCTGCAAAACATCTCACAACATGGATGAATCTGGAGGGCATTATGCTGAGTGAAATAAGTCAATACAAAAGGACAAATATTGTATGAGACTACTACTGTAAAAACTCATGAAAAGGTTTACACACAAAAAGAAACAATCTTTGATGGTTTGGAGAGAGGGAAGGGGTCAGAGTTGGGGGAACACTAAACAGACGATAGATAAGTGCTAACTTTGGTGAAGGGTAAGACAGTACACAATACTGGGGAAGCCAGCACAACTTGTCCAAGGCAAGGTCATGGAAACTCCACAAACACATCCAAACTCCCCGAGGGAGCGAATCACTGTGCTGAAGGCTGTGGGGACCATGGTCACAGGGGACATCTAGCTCAATTGGCATAACATAGTTTATTATAAAGAAAATGTTCTACATTCTAGCGTCTGGGGTCTTAAAAGCTTATCTTTTAAGGTCATCTAAGATACTCCACTTGTCTCACCCTGCTGGGAGCAAGGGATAATAAAGAAAACCAAAGACACAAGGGAAAGATTAGTCCAAAGTACTAATGGACCACAAGTACCACAGCCTCCACCAGACTGAGGCCAGTACAACTAGATGGTGCCCGGCTGCCACCACGGACTGCTCTGATGGGGATCACAATAGAGGGTCCAGGACAGAGCTGGAGAAAAATGTAGAACAAAATTCTAACTCACAAGAAAAAACAAAAAACCAAAAACCAGACTTGCTGGTCTCACAGAGACTGGAGAAACCCCCAGAGTATGGCCCCCAGACACCCTTTTAGCTCAGTAATGAAATCACTCCTGAGGTTCACCCTTCAGCCAGATTAGACAGACCCATAAAACAGAACAAGACTAAATGGGCACGCTAGCCCAGGTGCAAGAATGAGAAGGCAGGAGGGGAAAGGAAAGCTCATAATGGGGAACCCAAGATGGAGAAGGGGAGACTGTTAACATGTCGTGGGGTGGGCAACCAATGTCACAAAACAGTATGTGTATTACTTGTTTAATGAGAAACTAGTTTGCTCTGTAAACCTCCATCTAAAGTATAATAGAAAGACAGATGAATGGATAAACAAAGTATGGTACATACACACAATGGAATACTATGCAAGGATAAAGAACAATGATGAATCTGCGAAACATCTCACAACATGGATGAATCTGGAGGGCATTATGCTGAGTGAAATAAGTCAATCACAAAAGGACAAATACTATATTAGACCACCATTATAAAAACTCATGAAAAGGTTTACACACAAAAAGAAATGATCATTGATGGTTATGAGGTAAGGGAAGAGTGGGGAGGGAAAAACACTAACTAGACAATACATAAGCAGTAAATCTGATGAAGAGTAAGACAGTACACAATAGTGGGGAAGTCAGCACAACTTGACAAAGGCAAAGTCATAGAAAAAAAAAAGTCATAGACACATCCAAACTCCCTGAGGAACCGAGTTACTGGGCTGAGAGCTGGGGACCATGGTCTCGGGGGACATCTAGCTCAATTGGCATAACATAGTTTGTAAAGAAAATGTTCTACATCCTACTTTGGTGAGTAGCGTCTGTGGTCTTAAAAGCTTGTGAGCAGCCATCTAAGGTACTCCACTGGTCCCACCCCATCTGGTACAAGGGAGAATGAAGAAAACCAAAGACACAAGGGAAAGATTAGTCCAAAGGACTAATGGACCACAAGAACCACAGCCTCCACCAGACTGAATCCAGCACAACTAGATGGTGCCTGGCTACCTCCACTGACTGCTCTGATGGGGATCACAATAGAGGGTCCTGGACAGAGCTGGAGAAAAATGTAGAACAAAATTCTAACTCACAAAAAAAA